CAGAATAAAGACATACAGAAGTGTATCTTCTTATTAAAAGTGCGTAAGGGATTTTTTCAGTCCGCCATGTTCTTAGCAAGTGCCCTAAAGAGAGGCAGTCACCCCCCTGAAAACATAGTGAAAATTTAATATTCCAGGGGGGTGAATGCCTCTCTTTAGGACACTTGCTAAGAACATGGCCGCCAGCTATTTCGGTAAAAAACGCCTTACGGTTTTGTAATGGAGTTACACTTCTGTATGTCTTTATTCTGTGCATCTGTGGTTATCTTATGATAATGAATTAGTAAAATGGTTATCCATTAAACTGCTCCTGTATCCCTTGTCTACAGTAGGGATGGGCGATACCAGCTTTTTCATTCGATACGATATTTGCTCGATATTTGCCGGGGTTTTTCGATATCGATACCGATATCGATATTTTCCCAACTTGAAATCATTAACAACGGCCACAACGCTAACAATATAAACATTGAATAATATATGTCAATGATTGCAACCAACATAACCAGAAACTCCCATCCTTCCCGTGGACCATTATAGCACCATAGAAAATGAACTATTTACGCCTATTTAGGCTTTTTGGTATCATTTTCATGATGATGCCGCTGACCAAAATGAAAAATATCGCGGGCGCAGAAATATCGATATTTCTTGCCAGTATCGATACTTTTCTTCAAAACCCTGGTATCGATAGTATCGAGTATTTGGTATCGATATCGGCCCATCCCTACCTCTGATAAATTTCATATTAAGTTTCATAAACTCCCATTTAATTTGATATAGACTCTAATTTAATTTCTCAAACTCCTATTAAACAGATTTCTGTTTGGTTAGTTGTTTTCCAATGCACCACACTTACCGGCAGTGGTAGTACTCATATCCAAATCTCCGAGTAAATCTAAAAGGTCTCCACCATTAGTCGAGGGAGCTGCAGGTTGAAGAACTGGGACAGGGTTAGGCGCCTGCGTATGGGTGGATGGCGTGCCAACTGATGACGTATCACCAAGCAGGTCGAGTAACGTCGTAGACTACAAACACAGTTCAAACAAATTAATGTATATTAAAACACAACTCTTATTGTAATGCTATGTTTAGTTAATTACCTGTCGTTCACATCATTCAAGACTTTAAGAATTTGTATTTGAATGTTTCTCCTCGCCGCTTAATTGATTGTGGATTTTTCAAGTAATATTTATCAAATCATGATTTGTTGTGTTGGTGTTGTGTACTCAGGTGAATATGATGTTTGAGATGTGGCCAGACATATTTTGCAAGCTTGCCCGGTGTGGATATACACTCAGAGTAACATCACAAGCATCTTATTCACCCGAGTACACAACACCAACACAGCAAATCATGATTATTAGATTACACTGATATCGATGGAACTAGACTCAGTTCTGAAATATCACATACTCGAACCGACCTGACCGCGTAGCTCAGTTGGCAGAGCATTGGGCTAGTATTCCAAAGGTCGTAGGTTCGATTCCCACCGTGGCCAGCCATATTTTTCAAGCTTGCCCGGTGTGGATACACACTCAGAATAACATCACAAACATTTATCAAATCCTCTTTATGCATGTATACAGTATATAGTTTACCTCAGTAGGTTTGCTTTGTTTTTGTTCAGGAACAGCTAGAAAAATGGTGAAATATTTCATATTAAAACCTGTAGGTACGAATACCGACGAAGAATTTTTAGTTATACTGCACGAAAATCATTGATAGAATGGTAGATTCATAAAGGCTTTGAGAGTTCGTTGTGCTGAGTGGTTATATTACTACCTTAAAAAATAAGCAGAAACTCGACGTTTCGAGCGAAGGCCCTTCGTCAAGAGTTAGTAGCAGGGATCGGGGAAAATGCACGGGCTTTTATACTAAGAGCATAGAATAAAGATCCATATAGAAGGGCCACTCAGGGGTGCAACGTGTCCTCGTTTTTTTATGCAAAAATATGCAGTTTACTGGCCAGAAGGCGGAGCAGCCAGCCAGTACAGCGTGTTTATTGGCCAGAAAATGTCATTGACTGGCTAGGAAAATGGCGGCCAACATGCGTAATGCGACATGCGCGAGGACAGAAACTTCAAAGCTTCCGACGTAAGTGGCCCTTCTATATGGATCTTTATTCTATGCTAAGAGTATGAAAGCATCACGTGACAAAAAAATAAACCAATTAGATGGATCCATCTAATTGGTTTATTTTTTTTATTATTTTATTTTTTTGTCACCTGATGTTTTCATACTCTTAGTATAAAAGCCCGTGCATTTTCCCCGATCCCTGCTACTAACTCTTGACGAAGGGCCTTCGCTCGAAACGTCGAGTTTCTGCTTATTTTTTAAGGTAGTAATATAACCACTCAGCACAGCATTTTCACATTGGTACTACCTACACTGGTACAGACAGTTTTTGAGAGTTCGTGTACGACTGGCATCCTGGTGTATGAAAACGACTTCCGTCCTCACATTTTTTACTTATATGCTGAAGGGGAAATATGGAAGATCTATGCATGTTACTCGATCATAGGATAAGAATCGCAGAAGTAGTATTATACAGGCCGATGAGATCTGAATTTTGTGGTGGAGGGAGGTGTGGGGAAGCGATGTGAGGTTGACTCATTATGTGTGCATGATGTCCACTCCTTTACCTCACACCACCTCCCTCCACCCTCGCATCACCTCCCTCCCTCCCTCCAGTTCAAAAATCACGAGGCCTGTATAACAATTCTCGTAAACGATCGGGTAGATAGGTCTTAACTCACGTTGTTCTTCCCGTTGTACTTCCAGTATTTCGCCATTTTCTATTGTGGTTGAAGTAGTTGACTTGGTGTCCATTACTGGTATTCTTTCCAATAAACCAACCCTACGAGAACATCGTGCTTAATAAGTTCCGAAATATCGCATACTCGAACCGACCTGACCGCGTAGCTCAGTTGGCAGAGTATTGGGCTAGTATTCCAAAGGTCATAGGTTCGAATCCCACCGTGGCAAGGCATATTTTTCAGGCCTGCCCGGTGTGGATATACACTCAGAGTAACATCACACAAGCATCGTGCTTAATATTGATGCGAATTTTGGTGGCACAGAGGTTAATGCATGTACTTTTCATCTCTGTGACTGGGATGCGATTTTTGCATACATGTACTGTACTTGTCGACTATACTAAGTTTAGTTTCACCTCAGTTGTAATCAAGAAGAGTTTAAATGTAGATGTTACCTCATTTCATCAAAACTCCTAAACAATGTCAGATATTCAACAGAACGTTGCTGAAGTTCCATATCCATGTTGTTGGAGAAACGGTTAATTAACGTCTTGATCCGACTAAATGAGATAAAAATGTTATTGTTGGTGTCGTCGTATGGTGTTTGATATTGTTTGTTTTGCTAATCTATAGGGCCTTTAAATAAACGTCATAAAAACAAAACGACTGGATTGCCATGCGAAATAGTAGGATTTTCGAAATAATAAGGGGCAATCCATCCTTGAATCATGACTAGATGGCTGGTTATTCTCGTATGGCATTTGATAACAAATTGTTTGTTTTGCAAGCCTATTGACTACCCACAGTAATTCTTCTTACTCTACGCTTGAAGTAAATCTTGTAGTGAGTTTCATCAATGCATTCAAGGCGTATTGTTTTGATACTTGATTTAAAGTGTTGCTGGCAAGCATTCCTTCCAGTATGTCAACCACTTCATTTTCCGTCACCTGTTCAAGAGAAATATAAAAAGTTTAATTCACTAACTTCCCGACAAAGGGCCTTCGCTTGAAATGTCGAATTTCTCCTCAGGTAGTTGCATTCCTATGAACCGAAGTTTTGTCAGAAGAGATTCTATAATTTCTGGTTATTTGTTGGAAACGATACACAATGTCAAAATTGGATCGCTGAATTTAAAAGAGACTGCTCTATCTGGTGTGAACACGAGAACATACTACTGTGACCACCAGAAATTCACTGTGGTGCTGCCAATGTGTTAGAAGAGATTCTACATTTTCCGGTAATTTGTTGGAAATGATACGCAATGTTCTTCCATATAAAATCAGTGTCAAGATTTAATACTGTAGTACAGTAATTATATATCATGACATACATTTAGAGGCTCTTCTTCATCAATATCTTTGAATAATAATTCACCATACTCTCCAGTACACCATGCCGACACCTGGACCAACGATTGCTAAAATATGACAATATAGTTTTGGCTTGTGGGAACACCATGTATACCTATTATTGCAAAGCTTTCGATCCGTAAGCCCTAGTGACTGACCGATTGGGTCGTACCTGACTGATATCATGTTGAATAGCTGAGAACAATTGTTGAACGGCATATGCTTGTAAACTATCACTTGAAGCAACCATATGAATTAAACTAGGAACAGTATCGTCACGGACATAATTACCAGCCTGAAATGCAAAAAATCATTCAAAATATTTGTGCACATATTGATAACACACATACAGTACTGTATGCTTTCCGAATGTCTATAGAATGCGGATGTTTTGAGAAATGTAATGAAACTTCAATCTGTGCTACGACTCCTAAAGTATCACTGTTGGCATTGTGAACTTGTGGTTAGTGCATTCATATATTTTCTGGTGTTACTGCCAAAGAAGCCTGGAGTACTGTACCTGGAGAAAATCTGTGGTTTTTGGTAGAGTCAGACTGAAAGTACAGCACTCCTCTCACATGTGTCTGCAGCCCATGAAAACCGTCAAATTTGAGGTCGGCAAAAAAATGCCGACCTAAATCTGACCCAGGTCGGCACGTCTCGGCATTATTTAAAATCTGTTTCAAAGTCTTGGAACACTAGTAAGCACGTTTTTACAATCATTGAAATTGGAATATAAAGCATGCCATTTTCTACGAAAACGCGGACTACAGCAACACAACAGCTGGAGTCTTACCTAAATTATATATAGAATACCCATCATTTTTTAAACCGTTACACTGATGTATGTTTAGTTAATCGAACTACGAAACAAATTCTATAATCGCTGACTTTTTAACAGCTATCAGCACCAAAAAAATTCTTACTTTGGCTGAATTAAGGTCGGCAAATCTTTGCCGACTTGGGAGGTTAATAGGTCGGCATTTAGGTCGGCATTGTCGAATGCCGACCTCGCTTTCGCTGGCTGTGTCTGAGGTGAAATTATAATATTGCATATTGCAGGAATTACTGCATATTGCAGGAATCGTCACACCTCGCAGCTTGGTGAACGACACAACAAGTACTGTGCATGATGTATCATGTTTACATGAATTCTGAGAACATTTTAAAATTGATAGAGATACAGAGGTATTTATACTCACAGTTGTTAAAACTTTCATCATGATATCAATATGCCACCTTTTATTTGGAGCATGTCTATAAATTGAAGCAAATATGCACATAAGTTTTCAATATACTACAGTACAGACAAATACTGTATAATGCACTTATTGCATTTACATAAGGTTCAAGAAAAACAATTTTAAAACAACTTCTAACATACTTCTCTGCAACTTGAAAAATATTTGAAGTTATATAAGATTTCAAATCAGGGTCGACAGAATTAAGAAACACTAATAATTCCTTGACCATCCCACGGATATTGTTAGAATTGACCAAGGCAAAAGACAGCTCCATTGCTCGCCTGTAGACAAAATGTACAACCGCATTACAGTAGATACTAGCCACAAAACTATCATAAAATGTGTGGCAAATTTTAAAACATCACTCATACACTGTATATGGCTGGCTCGTTTCTCATATGAACACAAATACGAACAGGCCCTAATTCCCAAACTCACCTTTGTATAGATATATCAGGATCTTTCAAACAGTCTAAAATGGTACTGCGATGTCTCTGTACAGCCTGATAGTCTGCACTGACTGTCTTCAATAACGTATTTAAAGCAATATATCTGATGTTCTTGTCATTATTCAGCAAAAATCGTCCTAAAATATTAACAGCTAAAACCTAAAAGACAAAGGAATGAATTAGGTCTAACATATTGCCAACATATGTACAGTTCAAAATGTCAAAATGAAACTTTTATATACATGCTCTCCTCCCTAGTTTGTCTGGATAGTTTGTGTTACAGTATGTTTCCACATATGATATAATGCTAGTACTGCTCTATGCACTAACACTATGATCCTATGTTTTGGTTATAAAAGGCATATATGATTCTTTGGATAGACAATGTAATCAAATATTTTTATGATCACTTACTCTTAAACCACTTTCAGATTTTATGTCCATGATTGCCAGGACAGTTTCATATAAAATGGCATTTCCAACATTTTTACTTGTTTCTGTGTTTGTTGCAACCTTACAAAAAAGAGAAATTAATATTCCAGTAGGAGTAAGGTACAATGTATTACAACAGAATTTGTCAAATGATTAGTGTGGCATTCCTTACATGTACATTTCTTGCTGAATATACTGTATCAATCACATTAAAATACCTGCGCTAAAACATCATTCATCGCATCACTAGCTTCATCATCATTTCTTCCCAAAATTCTGAGCAATCTGATCACTCGAATCTATCAAATGTATATATGGTACAGACTGTAAAATGAATTGTACACCACAGTCACACTGATACAGAACATAAACTGAGACACCACCCATAAGGCAAAATACCTGGGTTTGTTGCTAAATCTTATGTATTGTCCAGTACAAAAGGTCAGGTTTTCTTTTTTTGTTCTACATCAATTACATTCAGCACAGAGGGCACAAACATTCATTACATGTTATATCAACTTTGAAACAAACAGCAGGGCTTCAAATTTGAATTTTTCAGCAGTATCCAACAGGATAATAGCAACTTAAAATCTGGTATCCACCCAGAAAATCTAGTATCCCAAATTTGCAAAACTCTTTTCATTCATGATTGATTATCATTTGTATCAATATGTGGTATTTCTTCCACTTGTTCATCAGTTAAATAATATTTGCAGTGTCTCAGTAGATTTTATTGTTTGCTCAGTTCATATAATGTACTGTATCTTAACATTTTGCCAACATATTTTGAATATAAGTACGTGAAGACGAGCTATTTCCATTTACAGTATAAAATTTTTTTATGTGATAACCTTGTGATAACCAGTATCCAAATTTAAAATCTGGTGATTCTGGTATCGCCAGGATATCGGGATACCATGAATTTGAAGCCCTGCAAACAGGTTATACTTTATTGCCAATATTAAGAAAGCTTCAGATTGAAGGTGAATTACAACGTTTCGAGTGAAGGCCCTTGTTCGGGAAGTTAGTACAGTGTAGTTGAAATGTCGAAGTTCTCCTTGTATTTTTCAGGAAGTTGCATCTCTATCAATCCGAAGCTTTCTGATATACGATACTTTATATAACTATTGTAGTGCATATTTGTGCATATGCAATGAAATTTTTATCAACACCTAAACCAAGCAAATATACATTACCTGAAGGAAAGGATCACTAATTCCTGAAACATCATGCTCGGGAGAGTATCCTGACATTATTAAATTCTTCAATGTTTTCACCAAAGTCGAAACATGCTAAAACCAACACAGAATGTTTTGCGAGTCTCTTTTTTACAGCCAAGTCTATCTTATTATTAGTATGAACATGTCTTTTTCACAACCAAGAATATGTAATATTTACCTTAACTAAGTCAAATTATTACCGGTACTGTTCAGATAATAATCCACATGTAACATAATAACTGAGCATAAGTAAGTTTTTACTTGCAACTGACAATAATCACTCACCCGTCTAAAATGTGCCACAATTTCAGGATTCAGTTCACACATTTCGGTAACGAGACATGTAGCAGTTAGTAAAACACCTGAAATAAATACCAGGTTTTTTTTCAGGATTTTCTCTTGGGTCCGTTTTTGCAGAGAAGATTGAGTTTAGCTGAACAGTTGGGGTGGCTGCACCCCCCTTCAATAAATGTAGTTGAGACGCAATGTGTTAAAGCAGGGGCACTAA